TTTTGGCTCAGGTCATGGTGTCAGGGTCGTGAGATCCAGCCCCACGTTAGGCTCCATGCTCAGCGCAGAGTCTGCTTTGAGATTCTCTCTCCCTGCCTCTCCCTCTCTCATGCTCACGCGCACACTCGCTCTCTCTCGAATAAATAAATTAATCTTAAAAACACACACACAGGGGATCCCTATCCCCTGGGTGGCGCAGTGGTTTGGCGCCTGCCTTTGGCCCAGGGCGCGATCCTGGAGACCTGGGATCGAGTCCCACGTCGGGCTCCCGGTGCATGGAGCCTGCTTCTCCCTCTGCCTATGTCTCTGCCTCTCTCTCTCTCTCTCTCTCTCTCTCTCTGTGACTATCATAAATAAATTAAAAAATGTTAAAAAAAAAACATTAAAACACACACACACACACACACACACACACACACACACACACACAAGAGACATATACACAAACCAGAGATACCTAGTTACTTTCAAGAAGAAAATACCTGCCTGGATTATCAGAATGTTTCTGATAGCTGGCCAACACACCCACGACCCTGGAGGTCAAAAACAAAAAAAGTCTGTTAGCAAAGCCATAATTAACACGGAGGGGTGATATTCAGAGCTGACTCAACTCATGAAGCTATGAATTCAGTCTACCATCAGCACTCCCTTTGGCAATTTCCCAGCCAGTTTTTCACAAACTAGTAGAGAGAAGAAATGATAGTATTTGTTAGCCCCAGAGGTAAACCACCCCTCTAGCTGCCCCAAGGGCTGAGCTAATTAACTCCTGGTTTCTACAACCCATCCAGGACACACAGCTCTGTCAGGAGGCCCAGAATATTCACGTTCAAGTACTAGAACGGTCTGCAAATTCCTTTCCTTTGCATGCTGCCTTATAAAACTGCTATATGAATTCTAGCTCATTTTTGCATTAAATCCTATTTCCTTGAGGTTATACCTCAACATCCTTAACTGACTTAGGAGTTTCTGAGATTTCCTCACAGGATCTTGACATTCTCTATGCCTAGCAGAGTCTGTAATACCTTATTTAATTCACTGTTGAGAGAAGGAGCTACTGGCTCAGGTAGGACAGCTTCTCACCTACAAGAGCAAGTCTTGCTGGACCTTCCTGCAGGAAGAGAAAGCCACGGGAAGATCACCCAGGAGTATTACCTTGGCATTGTGGGTTTATGCCAGTTTTATCTTGGAGAAGTGAATGGGCTGTGATAGCACATCAGAGATGGCCTGGGCTGGGGTGGGAGCAGCCTTTGACTGGGACAAAGAAGTTTTTGTGGAATGGGAACATATTCTAAAACTACAGTGAGGTGATACTTGCACAAGTATACACACTTACTTAAACTCATTGAACATTTTATGTATGTTATCCTCAGTAGTGTTTTCTATCAAAAATAAGAATGTGGAGTGCCAGGGTGGCTCAGTTGTTTAAGTGGCCAACTCTGGATTTCCACTCAGGTAGTGATCTCAGGCTTTGCACTCCGCCAGGAGTTTGCTTGTCTCTCTCCCTCTGCCCCCCACTTCCCCAGCTTGCTTTCTTTTGCTCTCTCTCTCTCTCTCAAATAAATAAATTAATTAAATATTTTTTAAAAAAAGAAATGTGACATTTGTAAGAACAAAAACAAAAAACACTGAGCTGTAAACATTAGATTTGGCCCCTTTACTGTTCACTTAGTTAAAAAGCTTTATCTTAAAAAAAAAAAAAAAAAAGCATCAAATTCCAATAGTGTTATAATCTGAAAAAAAAAAAAAAAAAAGAAGTCCTATACTTGCAAAGTTTTGGGGAGGATCCAATAGCACTGGATGAAAAGTGTCATGGGGAAAAAAACAAAAACCAGAAAGCACAATATGCTGACTCAACATGGTAATGGCTGTGGAGGGCAAGGCCTGGAAACACCAAATCCAAATCTGCTATTTCTTAAGCAACCAGGAAGACTATCTCCTGGCTATCTTCAGTCTCACAAGCTGAACACCAGGCTACTGCCAAATCTATTGAAAAGACCATGGATCCTGACTGCTGTGTCTGGGTTCAGGTCAGCCACTTACTAGCTTGTGATCTTACACAAATTTGCCTCATCTCTGTGTGTCTAGTTTTTCCCATCCCTAAAGCCAAAGTGTCATTCCTGCTACAGCACAGCATTTGGGGAGCTTGGCATATGGAGTAACAGACTGGCTGAGCCTCAGTTTCCCTAACTATAAACTGGGGAGATAGTAAATCTTTGTGGGTGTGTCTGGCCTGCATGTCTATTCTATCTTCCTGGCAATACCAGTCCACTCCTTTAGGGAACCTCTTTTGCCTCTTCCCAGTAGTCAAACTGTGGCTGCAGCATCACCTCATTGTCAGCTCCTGGGCCATCTGGGATGAGGATGAGCCAATCATAAGCCTTGAAAGAACCTGAGGCCAACATAGAATGAAATCTGGGCAATCTGGATTGTCTGAAAGTCCCTGGATTCATATTTGTTCTTTCAAACATATGAGCTAATAAACCTTCTTTGTGTAAAAGCAACAGCCAACACCCCATGCCCCAAATAAAAAAACAAAACCAAAAACAAACCTCCTGGGATCCCTGGGTGGCACAGCGGTTTAGCGCCTGCCTTTGGCCCAGGGCGCGATCCTGGAGACCCCGGATCGAATCCCACGTCGGGCTTCCGGTGCATGGAGCCTGCTTCTCCCTCTGCCTGTGTCTCTGCCTCTCTCTCTCTCTGTGTGACTATCATAAATAAATAAAAATTAAAAACAAACAAACAAACAAACCTCCTTCTCCCAATTTTGCTCAGGGCCAGCAGTCCACTGGGGAGCGGGGAAAGCAACCATCTCTGACTTTGTCTTGAGTTTTTCCCTCTAGCCCTGGGTAGAGGAACTCACACAGTAATCCCATGTTTTAAAATCCAAGCTGAAAAATAAATCAAATCAAATCAAATCAAATCCAAGCTGGACTCCAAATTATCAACATTGAGTTAGGAAGGGTCAGGACGGGGTCATTGCTCCATTTTCATCCTTTGTATGCTGAGGTTTAAACAAACAAAACAAATAGGCTTTAACTGAAACAGGGGAGATTCATCGTCGCCAAGAAAAGAAATTCTCACCTTCTAGAGAGCTAAATGCTTGAAATGGGAGAAGAAAGTTGGCAATAGGATCTCCACCCACCCCAGTATCTTCTGGAAGAGAGGACCAAAGACCTCTAAGCTGCCCGCCCCCTACACACACACACTCCTTCTATGAGTATACTGAGCTGACTGTCTTCACTTGCCCATCTTTTTCTGTCCAAAACTACGATTGTCTGATGATGGGAGAGAGGTAGGGCCTTGAATGTGGCTGGGTGCTATTGGGCTCTCTGAGGTTCAGTTCCTTGGGCACCAGAGTTACCTCTACCAGTTTGGGTAGCTAGGCAGTGGGCCCAAAGAGAACCCTATCGAGAAGAATGAAGAGGTAAAAACTATTACAAGAAAGGCAGCAAGTTGTACGTATGGGGTTATTGGGTGATGAAACATGCTCTAGCACGGTGTCTGTGCTTCTGTCAGGTGTCTTTAGGGTGTGCTCGGAGAATGTGCCGGGCTGGGGTCAGACCTAGGGCTTGTTATCTAAACCCAGGAAGAAGAACCTTAGGCGGAACAGGCTTAGAGCTTTGGGAACTCAACCTCGCAGTGTTTGGCTTCTCAAGGGAGGCACCAGGGCAAGGTGTGAGGACCCAGGAAATGCGTGTTTTTAACAACAATCCAGGGAGGGGAGGATTTTATTTTTCATTGTGCAAGCCTTCTAAAGTATTTTCATTATTTGCCAAGACCATGTGATTGTAACAAAAAGAGACTGGCTTACAATTATGAACCATGAAAAAAATAAGTTCTTTTCCTTTTCTCACCTAATTTCTGTCAGGTCAGATTTTTAGCTTTGCTGGATGTCAGAAGAAAAATTTATCTCACAGAGAAAGGGGCAGAGTTTTCCCGTGAGAAGACTTTTCTCCTATTTTGTCTATGCATCATCTAGTAGTTGGCGATAGCCTTGCCAGAGTGGGACATGAGATGGGGCGATTAGCTAAATGAGAATCCCTGGGATGTGACCACGCTGGGAGCTAGAGCTCAAGCACTACACAGTCTAGGCTGAGGGACACTGAATGGCCCAGGTGGTCATAAGGTGGTCAGTCTGTCATCTGAGTTGAGGAGGAAAAATGTATGGGACGGTGTACAGTGTAGGAATGGTCATGCCCTGCGGTGGCCCTGAAGAAACGGTATGAAGTCTGGTGAGCCATTAGGTTATTTCACAAGTACGGACATGTATAGGTGGGTACTCACTGAGAAGCTGATCAAGTGTGTGGCCTGGGCAGGATGGCCTAGCAACAGTTGAAAGCTGGTAGAGTCATGTACCTCAAAGCATTGGCAGGAGCCCTGCTCCAGAGCACAGACCACCCACTGGAAATCATAGCTGTGCCTGTAACATCACCCTGAGCAGCTGTTCTATCTCCCACCACATTGGGTCCCAGATGTGGGGCTGAGTTCCAAATTACCCAATTTGGGAACACAGTAGTTACCCTTAAAAGAGAGGGAATTGTTGGGTCAATTCGTTTAAATATTGATTATATCTTAATCTCAGTGTTACTTGTTTCAGCAAAACAAAACCCAGTCTCAGGTAGCTCTGTGAGTTGTCTAATTGTCCAAGTTTTTTTTCAGGGTCTCAGAATAATGTTCCCTGGACATTCTGTTTCTCCATCCTTTCTCTCAGGATTTACTGGCATCAGCCATCATCTTACTCCTGATTTGTCATTTGTCATTTTTTTTTTCCTATCCCAGCTCAGCATTAGTGTGGGTGTTGGGGAGATCCCGCGTCCCAATCTCTGTTCATTCTTCCAACAGTGATCCTGATCTTGGTACAAACAGAAAGAATAGTGCCTTAAGTGGGCCACTGCCCTAAATACAGCAGCCTCCTGATTTATTTACAGAGAACACTGATTTCATCAAGTTGTAACCATCATCCACAATTGACAAGCTTAAAAAAATTCCACACATCACAATGGTTTTGTATTGCATTTAATTGGTGTTTGCTGTTCATGACAGTATGGTTTTGTTCTTTTTAGACACTTTACTTCTAGAATCTACAGTTTTCTTCAATTGGCAGCCCATACTGATGCTGTGACTGGATCATTGCTGTTTGCCATGGTAAGAGCTGCTGCCGTCAGAAATGCAGGATGCTCCTGACTACTTCCACATAGTGGCTATCCGGGGGTGGCTGCCTCTGACTCCCAGGCTGCAGGAACTTCTTAATTGTAGGGATGTTACTGATTCTTGTTTTAAATGCCTGAGAGGAGAACCAGAACATTAGAGCCTCAATGACAGTCACGGCCTATAACAGAACTTTGTCATGGGAGGATGGTATTTAGACTGTCAGCTTACAGAGCCCAGTTGAACCTGAGTTAATCCCTCAACACCTGTTTGCTGGATGTTCCCAGGAAGGTAATACAATGGCTGGTGTGCTTAGTGTGAATTAAATAATCTTATTTAAAAATCATTGTCACAAGTAGGTGGCACATAATAAAACTCTAAAAACTTCATATTCTTTGACCTACTGATTCCTGTTCTAGGAATTTATTAAAAGGATGAGCAAAGAAATAATATTAAAAATGTTGGCACAGTGAAAAATTGGAAATAATCTGGTTATACAAACTATGGTATGCCCCTACAAGATATATAAGCCAGTAATTTAAAATGATATACATAAAAAGAAAGAGGAAGTTCCCTGTATTAACAGGGAAATAACTCTAGAATACAAGGATTAGCTGAATGAAAGAAAGAACGAAAGAAAGAAAGAAAGAAAGAAAGAAAGAAAGAAAGAAAGAAAGAGGGATCCCTGGGTGGCGCAGCGGTTTGGCGCCTGCCTTTGGCTCAGGGCGGGATCCTGGAGACCCGGGATCGAATCCCATATCGGGCTCCCGGTGCATGGAGCCTGCTTCTCCCTCTGCCTGTGTCTCTGCCTCTCTCTCTCTCTCTGTGACTATCATAAATAAATAAAAATTAAAAAAAAAAAAAACCAGGGGTGATGGGGCACCTGGGTGGCTCAGTGGTTGAGCATCTGCCTTTGGCTCAGGTCATGATCCTGGGATCCTGGGATGAGTCCTGTATCAGGCTCCCCACAGGGAGCCTGCTTCTCCCTCTGCCTATGTCTGCCTTTCTGTGTGTCTCTCATGGATAAATAAATAAAATCTTTAAAAAAAAAAAAAGAAAGAGAGAAGGAAAGAAAGTAAGTAAGAAAGCCAGCCAGCCAGGGGTGAAGAAGAGAGAAAAAGAGATATTCATATTTGTTTGTATCTGCAAAAATAGGAACACTGGAAGGGTACACAGGAAACCAATAAAAGTGATTATAGGGGCAGGAAGATGGGAGGTTAGTGGTGGCAATGAGCTTTCTCAATTTATGCCCTTTTTATATAGTTATAATTATTCAAAAAGATGTGACTATTATCTAATGAAAATAAAATAAAATGATATTGCAGAGGAATATTTGTTGACATATCAAAACATTCATGATAATTTTTTAAATGTTAAAAGCAAGCCACAAAATATTTAGTATGATCTTATTTCGGGGGAAAAATGTAAAATAATAGATCAGAGAGTCTAATGCGGTGGCATATGGCTGGTTAGGTCTTTTCTTTTTTTATTTCATACAAATGCCTAACGTAAAGACCTGAACTTTCATTTCTTTTGTAGTAAGAAAAAATACTGTTCTTAAACTACAAAACCTATGGTCACCTCTTTGATAAAATGTTTCTAAGGAAATGGAACAGAGGCCAGCTCCAGTCTTGCAGGGGCAGGATCCAGAAAGAGAGGTCTAAGGATGGGCTGAGCAGCAAGGGATGAGCAAGCAGTGATACCTAAGCAGAAGCTCTGAGCAATGGAGGGACATTGTGGGGTGTCCCTGGCATCAGGTACACTAAAGTGGGGCAGAGTTGTCTGGCAGGCGCTCTGAAGGGAAACGACAAAGACAGATTTGCCAGCGTCGTCACTTCATCAGGAAAAAAATGCTCAAAAAAAAAAATGCTTTTTTTTTTTCTAAAAAAAAAAAGAAAGAAAGAAAGCACTAAATATTTATGCTAGAAATCAAAATAACCCATCATAAGAGATTATTCCTGTTCTAGGAATTTATCAAAAGGGTGAGCAAAGAAATAATGTTAAAAATGTCGGCACGCCGAAAAACTGGGAATATCCTATGTTTCCAAGAAAAGGAAAGTGGTTATATAAACTATGGTACGTCCCTACAAAACATATAAGCCAGTAATTTTAAGGGTTTCTCCCATCATAAGGGTTTATTTCCTAATTATCCTGTAGTGCAAGTAGGAAAAAAATTACCAAAATAAATTAAATAATGATTTTTAAAAATCTTCTTTTGAAATTGACCTGGAAATGCATTTTGTTTTACTCTTTGTTTCTATTCACTTTTTCTTGGGCTTTGTGTGGCTTTTAACACCCTACCTGTAGCAGACGGAAGTCCGAAAGAACAGAAGCATTGAGCTCTTCCACCATTAAAATCGCTTCCAACAGTTGTAGGTCTGCCCAACTGAACTTGTTGCCAACGAGAAAATCCTGTCCGTGGTCTTTCAAAATCTACAGAAAGAGAAATAACAAAGAATATCAAATAAAAGTAAAGACTATTTTGCCTGGCTTAGCCCTTATAAAAGCAGGGAGTCTTCTGTACAGATCAAGTTCACTAAAGAAATCCTCTTCTTAGTAATCTCCGAGACCGCTGGAAAGGATCAGATGCAACCAGCTCTTCTTAAGCACTCTTAAATATTGCTGTAAATTGGCACAACCTTGTTGGAAATCTGTCAGTGATTAGCAAGACATTTTGGGTAGTGAAGCGCTGGAACAGAGCTCTCTCTTAAAAGCCTATAGCTGGGTAAGTAAAACTGCACCCACCAGCCCAGGAGACACAAAGGTCATGACTGGTTAGAATGAGGCTACTGTACCGCAGGTAGGAGGCAGTATGATAAAGCTCATTTAACATTATAACTCAAAGAATCCTACCAGCTTTTTATTTTATTCATTTATTTGTCTGTTTGTTGTTTTAAGGATCTTATTTATTTATTCATGAGAGACACACAGAGAGAGGCAGAGGCACAGGCAGAGGGAGAAGCATCCAGTATTAAAGGTAAAGAAATACCCATGACACGTGCGATGTGAAGGTAAGGAGGGGATGCCCTGGGCTGCTGTTGGCTTATTTTTGAAATCGGGACAGAAATGTTTCTGAACAATGTATCCGGTCAGTGCTTTGGGTTAACTCCCTTCTGTTTTGGCAGAGGCTCCGCGGAACTGCGTTACGGCATCCGTTTGGGGGCTCCCGCTACAGCTCAGGTCCACCGCAGCGGCCCACTCCCGGGACAGCCGTCTCTGCAGCAGGAAGCCAGGCCCGGACCCCTGCGACCCGCCAAGCGCCGCGGCCACGCGCAGGGCCCCGCGCGGGCCTCTCGGTTCTCCTCGCTCCCTGCGGTGGGGCGGGGGCCTGGGGGGGGGTGGTGGCTCGATGACGTCAGCCCCGCCCCTCGCCCCGCCCCCGCGCGCGCCCCGCCCCCATCGCTCCTCAGGGTCTGCGCGCGCAGCGGCCGCCCCCCGGACCCGCCCACCGGACCCGCCCACCGGGCCCGCCTCTCGCGAGAGCACCCGAATTTCCCGCCCCCGGCCGGGCTGGGGCCTCGCGGCGCTCCGAGCTGCCACCCTGCAGCCTACCTTCTCGAAGACCGGGAAGTAACGAGTCTGGGCCTTCTGCACGATTAATGCAAGATCCTCCTCTTTTTCTGCCGGCGGTTTGAACGCAGCCAGCGCGATCATCAGCATGAGGTCCAGGGTGCCGTCCGCGTACATGTTGATCCTGACAAAACCGGCGCGTGACTCGCGTTCCCACGGACGCCTTTGACCTCGGGGGGGGGGGGGTCCCGGGGGGGGGGGTCCCCGCCTCGCAGCCTCGCCGCCGCGACGGTGAAGGGCAGATGGGGCGGATGACCCTGTACACCCCTCCCCGTGGGGTTCCGGCCCACGGGGGGTACTAGGACCTCGGGAAAGGCGCACTGGGTCAAGGGATGTGTGAAAAAACTAGCAAGTGCTTGCGAGTTGAAATCTGCCGTAAATAGATCATTGTGGTTTTAAAGACCCAACTGGGTGAAGTTCACCAGAAGTGCAAAACCGTCAGTGCTTCCCGAGGGAAGATGCATGATGTGGCAGGTCTTCCCCTGACGTGGCAACCTTGTCAAGTCAGACAGACACCTCGGTTTCATTTTCTAAAATTCTCCTTTCGTTGACAAACACAAAGGTTAAAAACTACTGGGGCACCCCGGTGGCTCAGCGGTTGAGCATCGGCCTTTGGCTCAGGGCGCGATCCTGGAGCCCCCGGATCGGGTCCCGCGGCCGACTCCCTCCCTGCTTGGAGCCTGCTTCTCCCTCTGCCTGCGTCTCTGCCTCTCTCTCTCTCTGTCCCTCGTGAAAAATAAATAAAATCTTAAAAAAAAAAAAAAGATTGTGTGTCTGTGTATCCTCCACTGTATGCTAGTTGCCCAATAAATTTGGCTCAATGATCACCTTTTTTTTTTACCATATATAAAAGCACAATTTACTCGTCCTATCTGAATAATAAATCTTTTTTTTTTACATGTGAAATTGTTACCTAACTAGTCACCTTTAACCGTAAAAAGATAAGCACATTCATCCAAATAATGGGAATCAGCTTTTGCATGTTAGTACTGTTTACATTCTTATAAAAGGATTCTTTTCACACACTGTTTGAAATTGCTTGTCTTGCCATGTACTTCTGGGACTGCAAGTCAGGATGACTCAGTTCATTTGAGAGTTGAAAAAGTTGGGGTATGCTTCTGGTTATGAATTTTGTTCATTCCTATGCTATACTCTTTCTCTTTTTTTTAAAGATTTTATTAATTTATTCATCAGAGAAAGAGAGAGGCAGAGACACAGGCAGAGGGAGAAGCAGGCTCCATGCAGGGAGCCCAACATGGGACTCGATCCGGGGACTCCAGGATCACACCCTGGGCCAAAGGCAGGCGCTGAACCAGTGAGCTACCCAGGGATCCCTATACTCTCTCTCCTAAACAGTTGAATTTGGACCTTTCTCCCACCATGTCTTCTATCTATATGTATGGACCATCTCAGTGTCCATGCTTATGGTGATGAGATTTTAGGGACCATGGAAATGGCCCTTTGACCCCAAATCTAGATAAAACTTTTATAGTTGTAAGTCTGTCTTTGTTTTGTCTTTAGTTTGCTTATCTCCTGTAAAACAACCATTCCTGGGAGTAATAATCCAGCCATCTGCAGCCAGGCCTACCATAGTGCCCAGCACAGGGTAGAGGCTTGTGGTATATTTGTGCAGAACAGTGAATATACATCTTCACCCTTCAGTAATTGTGACAAGACTCAACAGCTCCTTCCATCAATAGCTGGGGTCTGTTTTCTGGAATGATCTCATGACTTACTTTCACTAATAGAATGAGGTGGAACTGATGACCAGTTCTGAGCCTAGAACTTAAGAGGCCTTGTGTGCTTTTACTCTCTCTCTTAGAACCTTCCCTAGCTGCCCCAAGAACCAGCTTGGCATGAGACAATGAGAGACACATGCCCCATGTGCCCCCCCCTGCCCTGGTTAATACTTAACACCCAAAACCAGAACCTCCTGGCTGACTACTGATTGACCACAGAATACATGAGTGAGTCAGCAAAGAGGAGTCAAGCCTGGCCAAGATATGCCAACACCCACATGACCCATAGATTGTTGAGCAGTAATAAATGAATGCTAATTTAAGTCACAGTGTTTCAAGGTGACATGTTACACAGCATTATTTGTGGTAATAGATCATCGATACAATGCTCATTGTTTGTTTGCTGAGTCAGTCATTTCCACTTTCATGTAGAATAGTTTACCAGGTCATTTTATGAGACCATATTTGGTAGGAGTGGGAGAGATGAGAATGTTGAATGCATACCACCATGAGTAGTAAAAGGGAGTATATATCCAGCTATGCACAAGGCAAATGGGTTATAGCAAGAGCATCTCCCCTTGTTCCCCCTTGCCTTCTCCCCCTAGTCTAGGCTGAAAGGCTCTATGTTAACTGAGTCTCAGCTGGTGCAAGACTATAGAGCTTGGATAAGAGTCAAGTAACAATGTAAACACTGTGCTACCTGACTGTCTCCTTCAGGTCCTTCCCATACAAGTCATATTTGGCAGCAAGGTAGCTGAGGATGGCTCTAGTCTGCGTGAGCACCATTCCATCAATTTCAACCATAGGTACTTGGCCAAAAAGCAGGCGTCCATCTGTGGATTGAGCAAAGCAAAGTTAGATTACTCTCCTTCCATAGTTGTGGCAAGCCTGTAGGAGAGTTTCTTCTAGGAGCTGATGACCTTTTGCAAAAGGATTTTTAAAACTCTCAGATCAAGAGCACAGGAAAAGATCTTTGAGATCATTTAGCTCATTCATTTTATCGACTGTGGCATTGTGAAGGCCAAGGGGGCAAATGTGACTTGCTCAAGCTTACAGTCAGGAGACAGCTAAGCCAAGTGGGCCTCCTGACTCTTAGCCGATAGCTGTCTTTGCTGTCCCTCTCTAACTCCTATGCACAAGTAATAGTAATGCTCAGGAGGGTGTCTCGTCTCAAGCACAAGAGCAGCATCACAGACTCAGGGAGGACTGGAGGATTTCATAGGCTATTAGGGAGGACTTCTTGCCAGAATGCTCATGGAAGAGTCTCTGGAGATCCATTTCTTTTACTTATTCAATACATATGTACTGAATCCCTACCACATGTCAGTGGCTGGCCTTGTTTGGGGTGGAGTAGGGCAGAAATAAAGAGGAAAGGAGCTTCAGGAATATTTGAGGCGATAAAGTTCCTAAACAAGAATTGGGAAAGGGGCTAGCCGGCCTTCTTCATTCAGTGAGATCTACTGGTATACCGCATCTGTGACCACAGAATTTATTTATTTATTTGTTAAAGATTTTTTATTTATTTTTGATAGACATAGAGAGAGAGGCAGAGACACAGGCAGAGGGATAAGCAGGCTCCATGCAGGGAGCCCGACGTGGGACTCAATCCCAGGTCTCCAGGATCAGACCCTGGGCTGAAGGCAGGCGCTAAACTGCTGAGCCACTGGGGCTGCCCTAGTCTTTTCTCAATGTGAGAAACTTTTCTAGGGAATTGTAAGGATGAAGGACTTCTTCGAATTTAACCAAATTTTGATCTTTTCTATAGTCTTGGTTCTACAATTGTGACCTATTAAACAGTGTCTTTTAATCTGTTGAAACCACTAAGAAAGAATGGATATGAGCCATGAACACTTCTTTTTTGCTCCCTCCCTTCCAACCCACTGGATCGTTATTTAACAATTCTTAAAGGATTCTTTAACTGGATGATGAGTATTGAACCAATTAGCTGAGTCAAACCCATGCTTTCATCTCTAATTGAAGTCAAGGTCAGAGTCTACTTGATAAGCTTTTACGGATAAGGACACAATGCAGATGATAAATTTAGCCCTGTGACAGGGACACAGTGAGTACTCAATCAGCGTTAGCAGTCCTTTTTCTAATAGTTGTTACTCCAGAGTTCTGTGTTCTATATTGAAATTAATATTTCCAGAAACAAATATTTATTTTTTCCAGTAAGAAAACATTGAATAAATCCAGGCTCACCCTTCTGCAACTTCTCATATTGTTCTGCTGTTTCAATAAATTCTTCTTCAAACTAGATAAAGGATAGAAACTTTGTTATAACTTTAATGTCCTGAGAGAGAGAGAGAGAGAGAGAGAGAGAGAGAGAAATATTCACAGAGTAAAATGCCCGGTGTCTTTCAGAATAAACATTTTAAAAGGAACCACAAAGTTGTCAATTTCCACACAGCTGAACATTCCACCGTGTGTGTGTAGACTAGTTTAAATGGGCATGGGACTGGCACCCCTCTTGGGTTTTGCCTACCTATAGGATATCCTCAGCCCCATTCATATTTTCCCTTTTCTTCACCTTAGCTCTTTTTTCTCTCCAAATTCTTGTCCTTTTCACCAACTTCCCCCAATGATTTCCCCTTCTCTCATTCCTCTCTTCTCTCTCTTCTGTATCATTCTCCCTCCATATCAGGTCAAATTAAATTTCTCTTTGATGTTCATACATTCAATAAAAGAGATCCAAAGATCATTATCCGGGTGGTAGCATCATCACTTATTGATGGAATCCCTACAGCTTTTATGGGTGAGAGTGACTTTTTTTGTTCCCTAAACTTTGAGATGGGGGTAGGATAAGGTGGACAAAACAAAGAAGGTCATGCATGAGTCTTGTTTTAAAGCAGATGGCATACAAATAGGGAAAAAGAAGTCACGCCTGCCTGAAACCAAACAATTCTAAAATACTCGTGCAAATCTATGGTAAAGTCAGTGGTTAAGGAATTCAGAATTAAGGAAGGATCCTGGTGGGGCAGACCTTTCCAAGGAGAGCTCCAGAGGAGACCAGACTGCAGCTGGGGGTAAGGTTCCAGTTGGCAGCCATGGATGGAACAAGACTGAGGTGCCAGGACAGAGCTGGAAAGACCACAGTTAATTGGTTCCAGTGAAGACAATGATCCACTTGTGGGTCTCCTCTCTCTCCTTTGCCTTATGAGTCACCGCGACTTCTTAGGCCTCTATGAAGCTTCCAGAACATCTCCCTAGGCTTCCACCCTCCCAACCTTGCTTAAACGGAGGACTATGTTCCCTCCCTCAGCTCTTACAAAGAAAGATACATGGAAAGGGAAAGAGTGGTCTATCCTGAAAGCCCCATCCTAAATTTTGAAGGGGGAAGAGGACCACTTCGGTCTACCCAAATTACCCTCCTTCCTTTTCCCAATCAGGAACCAACCTCCACTCCAGCTGCAGCCAGGAGCCAGCGGATTGACTCCATCCTGCCCCTGCCACGAAAGTAGTAGAGCTTGGGTTTGGTTGCCATGACTCCTGGCTCAGGGTTTTCTGAAGGGCAAAATAAGAAAAATAAGAAAAGCAAGAAAACAGTGATCACAGAATCAGGGTGGTGGTTATCTCCAGTAAGGAGAATGAGAGTTGTGATTGGAGAGGGATGCCGGGGAGGAGGCTGTTAATATTATATCTTTTTTTTTTAAGATTTTATTTATTTATTCATGAGAGACACAGAGAGAAAGAGAGAGAGAAGCAGAGACACAGGCAGAGGGAGAAGCAGGCTCCTCGCAGGGAGCCTGATACAGGACTCGATCCCAGGACCCCGGGATCACACTCTGAGCCAAAGGCAGATGCGCAACCACTGAGCCACCCAGGCGTCCAGGCCTGCACCCTTTTAAAAAAGAGTATAGAACTATGTGACCATACCTGATAGCACTTTCTGCCTCACCATGGCAAGGGCCACAGTGACCATTATGTTAGTGACCCCTTCCGGTCTCACAGGATTATTGAACGTGCTTTGAGAATGCTAAGCTCTATACCAATTTAGAGGACTGCTAGGTCTGCTTTTCTCACATATCCCTCTCTCTCCCCATAGGTAACGATGCATGCTTCGTGGAAACAGCAAAAAAAAAAAGCCGAGTCCCTGGTCCAGTCAGTGCACACGGTGCTGTGGCTGGGAGGTTGTTTAGCTCAGGGTGACACACGGATCTCATAGAGACCCACGGCTTCTCAACACAGCACTCAACATGGTCCTTGTCCACTAAGCCCCAAACTGCCAAGTAACCTGTCCTAGCTGGGATTCTACTTGAGGATGCTTCTTGTGCTAACAAAATTCATAAGGAAGTTAAAAAACCATAACAGTAGCTCGGTTTATGATAAAACATTTGACTGGGAATACCTATAACCATATGACAACAAGGTCACTCACTCAGGTTCATAAAATCTTACAGGTGTTTTGAAGCAATGTTACCCACAACCACTCTATTTTCTTATATGTTGGATTTATAGTTTAACTCTTGGAAAAGTTGAATTCCTTTCCTCTTTCTTTTTTTAATACGGAATGCTTCACAAATGTGTGTGTCATCATTGCATGGGGACATGCTAATCTCTGTATTGTTCTAATTTTAGTGTATGTGCTGCCAAAGCCACACTAATTACTTCCTTGTGGTCTTGTCATCCCTAGGTACTATTTATGTCCAGTTGTTTTCAAGATTCATTACTTTTAAGTTGCCTCTTTAGCTATTGAGTGTTGAGAGTTTCAGGAGCTTCCTAAAACCCCACTACTTTATTGTCTTGGGAGACACAATGATTAAGAAAGCACCCACATTCCCTGATTAGAGAAATTTGTTTGGATCTAGTAATTCACTTAGAATGAATCTTACGATAGAAAACAGTGATGAGAAAGTATGACAAGAAGGAGAAGGGAAATGGCGGCTTCTTGTTAGCCTCTCCCCAACGAAAAAATTCTTGAATTCTCTGGTCTCCTACAAGGTCCCACATATGATGGTTAAGGAGCAAATGTAAGTGCTGTTAAAAGTCAGAAGGAGGAGGCCATAGCAGTTCCCAACATGCAACAGGCACAGCAGGATGCGCATGCCTAGTGCTAGAGAGACTCACATCCTCATGGGCCATGTTTCAGGGACTGACCAGGTGTCAGGAAGGCTGCAAGGCAGACAACTACAAAATATTTAACAGCAGCAAACTCTGGGTGATTGACAAATAATCCAAGCCCTCACTCCAAGAACCCTTTCCAGGTCTCTGTTCATCCTGCTACCTTCAGACAAAAATAAAGCAACACTGGTGAAATTAAATATCACTCCATCTTGAGGAGTTCCACAGAGTTCCAGCCAAGCTGACCCCTCTCCACCGGCTCTGAGAGGCAGGGATGAAGCTGTGGATCTGGATGGGGCTGGTCTCTGATTAATTCCTGTTGTTCTGTGTCCCTGAAACCTTCAACCAGTCCAAATTCTGTTTGAAATAAATCTTGCAGTGAAAGAAGGTGGAATATTGGAACAGCTGCCAACACCCTTTTTATTGTAATTCTATCCTGCTCCTCCAGTTAGCCAAAGCTGAAAGTTATCCTTTTATTTAGACCATGGATCCAGAAAAGGTCATCTCTGGTAGCCTCCAGAAAGCTGTTTCTAAGCAATGAATGGTCACTTAAAATGCAGGCTGAATGGTCTTTCTTCAGACTATTCTCTTAGTTATTTGAAATCTAAATTTCAAATAGAGATTAAAAAGACATTAAAAAAATTCTAGCCCCAGACTGCCCACAAGAGACAGATACCTAACGCCACTACTGACTGTCATAACGTGGAGGCTCCTCCAGACATATTTGTTCCAGAAACCCAATGAAATCTCTCAGATGAAAGGAGAGGCAGTAATATGTAGCCCCACTCCTCCCTTTTTAAGATTTTACTTATTTGAGAGAGAGAGAGAGAGTGAGAGAGTAAGAGTGGGGGGCAGGGCAGAGGGAGAGGGAGAAGCAGACTCCCCACTGAGCAGGGGGCCCAATGTGGGGCTCAATCCCAGGGCCTCAGGATCATGACTTGAGCTGAAGGCAGACACTTAACTGACTGAACCATCCAGGTGCCCCACAAAATGTCATCCTAAAATGGTCAAGAGAGGGTAAGCTTCTTGCTGGCATTGCAGAATCCACACTCAAAGGGATGTAGAGATACGAGCCCTTGGAGGTGCTAGAATAAAAAAATCGGGAACTGGCAACATCAGGGAGACAGGAGTCTGAGCATGAGGGAGGGATTGTGCTGTGTTCTGCTGGGAGGTGCGCTGTCAGGGGGGGAGAGAGGAAAGCTGTGCTCCTTAAGGTGTACAACCAAGAATGTGGATTTGGCTTTGGAATGTGGAATGTGGATTTGGCCATCCTGGCTTTGCTGAGAGAATGAACCCTGAGAGAGCTGAGGGCATGGATGTGGATCTGGTCACATTCATTTCCAGCCCCTCTGCCAGGCAGATACCCAAACAGAAATGTCCAGTCCTCAAACAGAAATGATAACTGTGTGTTACTGTCCCCATCTTTTGAAGGCAGGGGGCTCTGGGCTTTTGAGTCATGAGTCCTCACTAATGTTGCACAACCTTTATCCACCTCTGTAAGCCTCAGTCTTCTAATCCTTAGAATGGGTATGGTGGTTATACCTACTGACTTCAGGCAGAGGCCTATTGTGAGGACCAAGGATGAATAAAGTAATGGGTAAAGTACATACCACAGGATGTGGTCCATATCAAGTAGAGTCCCCTGTGCTGCTTTAAATGACTTACACACAGATTTCATGTTTTCTTAGAGTTTCTTAGGCTGGTTGGCTTATCTATTAGTTTTATTTGAGATTGATAAGTGTTGCAAATGCTACTGATATTTTGTAAAAGGGAGCCAAGACTTTTTAAATTTGACTCAATATTGTGATACAGGATATTTTAAAAGTAAATCTGATGTGACTTTTGCCTTCATTTTGTGACTGTGAGCAGAATTGGAGCTTTTTCATGGTTTGCTGCTATATGGAAGAGTACTGGGGGACTTTATGTGATGCCTACCACTATTTCCCACTTCGTTTCTGCCGGCCCCTTACATATATCCTCAGGGTACGTGGGAGATTGAAGGATCTATCTTTGGAATCCAGAGTTGAATTACAAGGATAGGATCATTCCTCTCCCTGCCAGCAGGTCCAAACCTTCCTCGATGTTCAAGGGAGCCCTAAAGCCCAAAGTTAGAATAAAGGAGACCCCACCTCTGATAAATAGGACTGTGGCCTGTAACCTTCCCTCTCCAGTCCATAAGAAGGAATTTTTTCCCTAGTCATTAATAACCAGCCACTCGAATGATAACCAGTTACCACTTCTTCTATAAAAATCTGGATAAATGTCTGTGCCCCCCGTAAACAGCTGGTTCTGGCCAACCATCCACCATTCCTCAATCTCTCCGCTTTAGCTCAATGGTGTCCTAAAGTGGGCTCCTAGATGAATGATGGGAGACTGAACAGGAGGGACGCCTGGGTGGCTCAGCAGTTGAGCGTCTGCCTTCGGTTCAGGGCATGATCCCGGGATCCGGGATTGAGTTCCACATTGGTCTCCTTGCAGCGAGCCTGCTTCTTCCTCTGCCTGTGTCTCTCATGAACAAATAAATAAAATCTTAAAAAAAAAAAAAAAAAAAAAAAAAGGAAGACTGAACAGGACATTGTTAGGAGCTACACCAGACTCCAGTCCCTACCCCATGCCCTTCTGAGGAGCAGCTATTTCTTCTGGAAGAGCTGATTACAGAGAAGGGGTCAATACCACTTACAATCTCACCCCAGCCAAGAACCAACTGCTCCCCCGGGATTCTGACCTGCAAAACTAACAAGGTGGCAAACTCTTGGAAGGCAGGAGTCAGGGCATCTTTCTTCCATCTCCTAGAGAACCAACCCAGCACTATCCCAGACACATGGTAGTTACACAGAATATACTGCTATTACCTCAGTGGGCCTGAGATATCAATTTCTAAACTTGCTAAAATGTCTATGTTCCATATTTCATTCTTTCCTTTAACATCAAACATTTATTGAGCTCCTATTATGAATACAGTACTAGGTTAAGCACTCCAGGCATACAAAGATAAGTAAGATATAGTTCCTGCAATCAAAAACCTGATAAACCTCATTATAAACCTCATCCCTTGTGATGGAAACACTCAGGTTCCCAAGCTGTAAGTCAGAATGAAATTGTGTTTAGAAAGAAATACAATACATTATTACAAGAATTGAACAGAGCCATACAGAATGAGCATATATAAACAGAAGTTTTGTCTGAGCCCTGCTCCTTCCAGCCCCTTCCATGGCATTATAGGTTAAGGACCTAAATCAAGTCTTTTAATTCTTTTTTTTTTTGACCTCTAATGAAGTTCAACAAAGAGTTGGATAAATCACAGCTTGGTGATACAGAAAACCAAGTTTGTGCTTCAAAAAGTAAACCCAATTATTTTCATTGTTTAAAAAAGAAAAAGGATACTGTCAAATCTGAAATGGACAGGTACAATGGGAATATTTGTTCCTTTTCTGAGAAATAAAGGGAGCAAAACAGAATGTTTTCTGGGTGTCACCCAAAATGCAGACACTGTGAACACAGCTGCTGGAAGATCCAGAACCTGAGATGTTGAGCTCACCGTAAACTCACACTCCAATCTTCAAGCCTCTTTTTTGTGCTGCTAATATTGCCCAACAGGTTTGTCATGAATTAAAACTGGTTCACCAACTAGGCTTCCCACACAGGGCTTATTACCAGGAATTGAAAGCCACCTCTTGGGGCTTGCAAACTTCCCCCATATGCCGCCTCACCTGAGATGAGCTGTGGGATGCACTGCCCCCACCCCCAGAGCTCCAGGGGCCCGTGTGGGCCTTGGTAAAAACAAAAACAAAAACAAAACAAAAAAACACGTTCAAAATCTTTTTTTTTCAAAATCTTTTAGAAAAGGTGGTGGGGGCGGGGTGTGCCTGGGTTGCTCAGTCAGTTAAGCCTCCGACTCTGGTTTTGAATCAGATTGTGCTCTCAGGGTTGTGAGATAGAGCCTCGTGTTGGGCTCCATGCTCAGCATGGAGTCTACTTCGCGATTCCCTTCCTCTCCCTCTGCTCCTCCTCACCTTAAATAAATAAAATACATATTAAAAAAAAAAAGAAAATGTGGGAGAACTCATATCTGAGTTATGCCCTGGGTGCCAATAAAAGTAAAGACCTAAGTTGAAATTTTAAGTCTACTTCTCACTTCTGCAAGTTTTAAAACTCTGTGAGCCTCAGTTTCCTCGTTTGTGCAATAAGACTAATTGTTCCTAATTCACATGGGTAGTTATGAGGTGGAAATAAGATAATGGATACAAATCACTGAATACAATAAGGACTCAAAAGATGACATGCACACACACACAAACACATCTACATCTCCAGATCACAGCAACATTCGCTGGCAAGAGAAATAAGGGAAATTTGCTTTTGAAAGGAAAGGAAGGCATTCTCTAGAAGTGTGATTTTGGACCAACAGCATCAGCTTCACTTATTAGAAATGCAGACTCTGAGTCACTGGGTCAGAGCTACTGAATCAGAGTCTACATTTTTCACAAGAGCCCCAGATGATTCACTTGTATATTAAAATGAAGTTTTGAGAAGCCAGGTCTGGAGGGAAAACTCAACAAAACTGCATCTGGGGCTCAGTGTGTGGTCATTCTTCTCAGGGACTGTTATGCAGGCATAAATTACAGAAAATGATGTTTTAAAAGAGGGGTGAGCAAATGGTGAAGTGCAGGAGTTGTGTGTGGCTAAGAATAGAAGAAGAAGAACAGAGGAAACTGGAGGTAATTATAAGTGAATTTCCCATGTTAAGTCATTTCCATTGACCCCCTTTGAAGAGAGGTGAGGCCTTCTTCCATCCCCAAATTTAACCAAGTAGCAGGTGTGTAGCTTCCTCCCAATCCTGAGGCTGGTCTGGAAGAAATGTCAGGTGCCCGAACTACAAAAATGGAAGTTGGTGCAGAATTTGGTAACCTCTTTCATTTATTCCCAGTTTTAAGTCTTTCTGATGTCATTTCTCTTTCCTTGTCATTCTTCGCCCTGTGCTCCTAACTGAGGAACACATACATTGGGAAAGCAGTCAATCTTTTTCGGAGTGAAATTCTACTGACAATGTTAACAGCTGTTTTAGATAATTGGGGCAAAAGAGCACACATTTTTATCAGTTATTTGAACAGTTGGGCAAAAGGCAGCCTTTTATTGAAGTTTCTGGCTAGTGAAAATTTTAAGGGGTTAATTTAAGAGGCTGGGAGTTTTAACAGATGTTTTGGGCCAAAATAGAAGATGTCAATTCTAAATCTATTATTAATAGAAATATCTGTAGCATTTACTTTGGCTTCTCCAGTGGATTAGAATGACCTATTTTCATTATAACCAGCAGATCAAAATGTGTCACTGAGACAAAGAAAAAAAAAAAAAAAGAAAGCAAAACAAAAGAACTCTCCCAGATAACCCTGTATTCCCCACAGTACTTAAATTTGCCAGATTGGAAAAGTGTAGCATCAATTTAGTCTTTCGACAAAGACTATGTTCAAGTTGGAAAATAGCAGTATTAACAGCATAACCAAGACTTTCTGTATAGTTTCAAAGTGTGGCTAAGTATAGCCTTAAAGTTACAGTCCATTTGTAATTGACTAGGAATTATTCTCTTCTATTTTCTTTTTTCTTTTTTTTTTAAATAAATTTTTATTTATTTATGATAATCACACACAGAGAGAGAGAGAGGCAGAGACACAGGCAGAGGGAGGAGCAGGATCCATGCACCGGGAACCCGATGTGGGATTCGATCCTGGGTCTCCAGGATCACGCCCTGGGCCAAAGGCAGGCGCTAAACCGCTGCGCCACCCAGGGATCCCTCTCTTCTATTTTCCTAACATGTTCTATTAGCAAAATATTTAATTAGTTGATTTGATATGTTGATTAGTTGAATTGGACATGTTATCTAAAGGTAAGCCTCCAGGACACCTGGGTTGCTAAGTGGTTGAGCATCTTCCTTTGGCTCAGGTTGTCATCCCCGGGTCCTAGGATCAAGTCTTGTATGGGGCTCCCTGCTGGAAGCCTGCTTCTCCCTCTGCCAATGTCTCTGCCTCTCTCTGTGTGTCTCCCATGAATAAATAAAATCTTAAAAAAAAAAAAAACCTAACAAGAGATCAACTTACACACCCAAGCATATAAACTGACAGATAAAAAATATACCTGAGCCAAGAAAGAGACGTTCATCTGCCCAGGTGACTAAGGCTGCTGGGAGAATGAACAGAGTGGACCACAACTGGCCCCACTGTTCTTTAACGATCAGGACAAGTCCTAGAAAAATTGTTTTCAAGGCTTGACTAGAGACTCATTTTTCAACAGGACCTCAGAGGAAGACCCCTGTATCAGATTATTTGGGTTATATCTTCCAGGCATATGTTGAGTAGGCACCTAGAGAGGGAGATTTAGTCTATGTGTTAGGAACCATGACACAGTGAGCGGGGCCTGTGTTCTTCTCTTCAAGTGCATACAAAAATATCAGATTTGAAAAAAAAATATATATATATATATCAGATTTGCCTGAGGAGAAAAAAATGTAATGGCTCAATTCTGCTAAGTGGGTTATTTCCACCAATCAACTGAAACACCACTTGACTCATATATCTTTAAAATTACATTTAACATCAGAGGGGGGACATTTTAACATCTAATATGTATGCCATGCACAGGCAATGGAAGTCTTTATTTTTTAAAAGATTTTGCTTATTTACTCATGAGAGACACAGAGAGAGAGGTAGAGACATAGGCAGAGGAAGAAGCAGGCTCCCTCCAGGGAGCCTGATGTGGGACTCCATCCCAAGACCCCAGGATTACAACCTGAGCCAAAGGCAGAAGCTCGACCACTGAGCCACCCAGGTACCCTGGCAATGGAAGTCTTTAAAAGGCCTTGTCTAAAGGTCTATTTGCTATCTTGTTTTCATGTACATATCTACTCTTCATAAAAATACATTCCTTTTATTTGATACAAGCAGGTTTAAAATAATAGCCATTAAATTAGCCAAAGTTAAAACAATTGCTGCTGTAAGCTACAAATCTGGCCACAAAATAGAACTATCCAACCAAATCCAAGTACAATGTGTAAGAAATTCACCACTAACCTTCTCTCTTCCTGGCTCTTTTCTGGGAGTGCTTTTTGGGAGATCAGGTGAGGGTTTATAACTCTTTCCTTTCCCCGCTGAGTTCTCCACCCAACTCAAGGGATTAGACAAGCACTCGTTTGTACACGCCTCTGGGGCTTCACTTTACATCTGCTGTTTGTGCATTTGGGAACGTATCAAGTTACCCAAGTAAGGATCCCACTGGCTCACTGAACAAATCTCTGTGACAGGCACACTTTTAGGTCATGAGTCTAAAATGGTGGCCCTGGCAGCCACAATTCCTGCATGTGTGGTGCTTACATTCTAGTTGGGGAAGACAGGCAGTGTAAATATATGAACAAATCAATGTGGTGCATTAAAAATAATATAGCAACAATGTATTAGATGATTATAGCTGAGGAATGTGACATCTGTAACAGAAATGTTATAAGGGACCAGGAGGAAGAATCAGGAATACTCTGTTAGATACCTGCATGGGTCACCTTGGTGGCTCAGTTGGTCAAGCATCTGCCTTTGGCTCAGGTCATGACCCTGGGGTCCTGTGATCAAGCCCTATATTGGGCTCCCTGCTCAGCAGGGGGTCTGCTTCTCCCTCTCCCTCTCCCCCTGCTATACTGTCTCTCTCTCACTCTCTCTCAAATAAAATCTGAAAAAAAAAAAAAAAAAAGATAAGATACCTGCATTACCTGTTAGGTATCTTATTTGAAAGTCCCAGCATAGCTGTAAATCTGCATTGTAAATTTTCTGAGTGGCTTGTCCTGGGTCCTAGACTCATTAAGTGCCGTACCCCCTCCTATGGGTCCAGACACCCACAGCCCCCTTGTATGTGGTTATGCACTTTAAGCCCTCGGTTTACCGCTGTGGCTTTAGTTGGTGAGGCTTTTAGTTTACCTGTTTGGGTTTAGCCCTGCACCCTCTCGCACAGTGTTTTTAAGTATAAACAATTTCTGGTGCCTGACCCTCTACTCTATTCCCAGAGTCTGGTGGTTCAGGAATATGGCATGCCGTGGGCTGAGACTCAAGTGTAGGAGTCTGGCCCAAAAGGGGACTGTGACAAAATGGGGGTAATGCCACCTGAGGCAAGATGGCGGCGGAAGGAGGCTTGTTTTCAGTACAGGAAGAGCACTGTCCCATGTGAGGTCATGCTTCCACCCGGAAAGCCACGGGCTTCATTTGAGACAGCATGGCCTCTTCTATTTGTTGCTTCTAATCCTCTGACTCCATGCAGAAGCCAACCTTTCTCTCTGGTTGTTCCCTCAGAGCCAGCCTTGAGGGCCCCCTGGCGTTTAAGAAAATGATAACCCAATAGTTACAAAAGGCTTAGTGTCTGCGTATTACCAGGTGATGGCACTGCACAGTAACATCACACCAAAATCATAGTAAAAAGTAGCACACGTTTGCTGCCATCCCACAAAACTCAATCATACAGATGCCCGGGTGTTATCAAGGCAATGTCTGGTTCCTTTTTTTTTTTTTTTCAATGTCTGGTTCCTATGTATACACTGATCAACACCTAAGTATAAAATGTTTCTCTTCCCTGAAGAGGTTAGAAGGAGCAGTCAGTCCAAGAGACCATCCCCACTTCTCACACCAACTTCAAGTTGAAGGGTGCCCAAAATCCAGCCTTAGGTTCCACAAGTCACTAGAACTCATAGAACATGTTGAAAGCTGTTATACTTACAGCTATGCTTTACTACAGGGAGAGGATATAGATGAAAATCAGCCAAGGGCAGAGATGCCCAGGGCAGAATCCAGGAGAGTTCCGAACATGGAACTTCTAGCTATCCTCTTTCTGTGTGGTTGTGGACAGCACTAAATCCTCCTGACAACCAAGTGTGACAATGGATGGAGTACGGTCAATCAGGGAAGTTCACTGGAGCCTTGAGTCCAAAATTTGGGGAGCACTCCACTATGTAGGGATGATTGACTATCCATGTGGCTGATCCGTCTCCAGGCCCTCCAGAGTTGAGCTGATACCACAAGACCCAAAGCCCTCACCCTATGCTGCATTGTTGGTGTGGGTCAAAGCCCTCACCCTAATTCATAGTTATCATCTGGCTAGCTCACTTGTTTGGTCCAGGCAAACAAGTGTTTCCATCAGGCATGAGAGTCCAAGGGCATAGGGATCTACTCCCAGAAATGAAGGCCAGACCTGTCTTTGGGCAAGGTCATGCTGTATACACCTGACTTTCTTCTTATTGGCTTGTGCTCTCAAGAGCCTGGAAGGACCCTGGGCCTCTCCGTCAGAAGCAGCAGCCTGGACCATCACCGCTCCTCAGGCTTGCCTGGCACTGCACCTGCCACCAATTGTACTTCAAGCAATTCTAAATATCGCAGTGATGACAGAAGCACTGAGGACCTGGGAACACAAACAACCACCTTGATGCCTGCACTGGATTTTCCTCTAATAAAACACTGAAGTACTTGTGCTGATTGTGACAGGCATTAATGATCACTTCACCGTTGCTGTCTGTTCTTCACATCTCAGCAAAAATCCTTCCTGCAGTAAGGAATCGGTAAAAATCCCTCCTGAGGTAAGGTGTGTCCTCTCTGAGATTCTCATAAAAAACTTGCTTTTCTTCAGTTTTTTAATTCCTGAAATATCAGATACTCTAAAAGCAGAAATTCTCCCCTTTCCAAAATTACTTCAGCTGTTGACACCTCTCTCCCCTACTTTGTGGTGAGCTGTTCTAGAACAGGGGCTCTGTTCAAGAGTTCTGTCCCCTGGCACCCTGCCTGGCACATAATTAGTGCTCAATTAATATTTGAGACCTAAATCAACACATGTTAAAAGCAGTATTAATAAACCATACTTTTAGGGACACTTGAGTGGTTCAGCAGTTGAGCATCTATCTTCAGCTAAGGGTGTGATCCCGGGGCCCTGGGATCAAGTCCCCCATTGGTTCCCTGCGGGGAGCCTGCTTCTCTCTCTGCCTCTCACTGTGTCTCTCATGAATAAATAAATAAAATCTTAAAAAAAAAAAACCAAAACATACTTTTAATTCTGAATGCAAAAAATTAGCAGCCTACACATAATCATTTGGGGAGTAATAAGATAAAAGTAATATCTATATATTTTTTTATGTATGCATCAAATATAACCGGAGGGATATTCAAATGATAACTATGTCTGCAGGTGGGGAGCAGAACCGGGCAGCAGCAGGGTAGGGCTGAAAAGAACACTTCCAATTCTACACCTTCTTATACTCTTGATTTTTGAGCCATGAGAATATGTTATAGATTCCAAACAATTTAATCAAAAAAATTCTGGCAACAGGGCAATGATTTGTAAATTCTTTATTTTGGCTAATATTGACTGCCTTCATTACACCACAGATTTATTATAGCTGAAAGGAATTATTCACTAGATATTCTGGGTTGTTACAAAACACCAAAAATTAGGAAGATACTGCTTTTAGACAGGGATAAGAAGCGGGGGAGAAAAAGCTCAAGGGAGAATACAAGGTCCTGCCCATTCTGGTTATCAGGAAATGAATAACTACATCAGATCTAACTTAAATGCAAGCCTCTCCGAAAAGGCTTTCAGAAAAAAGTTGCGTAACAATTATCCACCGGACAAAACAAAAGGTCAATGTTTCTAGAAAAGATCTTGACATGAAAGACTCAACTGAGGAACAGTTATACATAGCACCATGACAGAGCTGGGATCAGGGCAGCCTGGCATCAATTAAGATGCTACTGTGGAACTGCAATCTCTAGGGGCTAGCTCTCACTCACAGATGTATGTGATGTTTATGGCATAAAGATATTGTAGACGGTTCTCACGTAGATGTCATCCGGAGGAGGCTTCTTCTTGCTGCCAGGTTCAAGGAATTTCTTAATTGTAGGGATATTACTTATTTTCACTGTGAACTCCTACAAAAGGAAAACACAACAGTTCAAGGTTGACAGCAAAGGTAATGATAACTATGAAAATACGATTGTGTAAAATGGCCCAAGAAGTATGTTATAGGAACCCGACCATAAATGTCAACCAGCATCTGTTTGGGATCTGATCTCTTGGTGTAACCATTTACCATCTCTGTCCACAATGGCTGGGACCTAAACCAGGCTTTATATACACAAATATCACAGTTCAGATCAAGATGTGAATTTCTCCGGAGACAGAAAAATAAAAAATGCTTAGATTAGAATTATGATGCTTCCTTAAAGAGGAAAAAGGAAAGAAAAATTAGTACCTTAAGTATACTGATCTACTCAGAGAAAATGCATGAGTTATTTAAATAAAATTATTTTAAAAGGCCATCATATGACCTTTTTAAAATTCAGCTTCCTTGAACTTTTTTTTTCTCCTTGAACTTTTTTTACTCCTATTACCAAATGAATCCTCTTTCAGGCTAGGTGTGGGAGATGGCCAGTTATATTTTTTGTGGCCTAGGGCTCAGACACTAGATATCAGATATTTATGTAAATCATATTTAATGGAAACCGTATTTTCCATTCACAGAGTCAAATCTTACCAATTCTCAGTAATTGAGAAGAAAATTCTATTTTGATCTAGTAAAAATTTTGAAACATATGAAGAAGTGTATATCCATCAAATATAATTATTCTAACAGAAGTTTTCAAAGAGGTCATTTATTTAAAAAGCTACTATTTATTAAATGTCTATAGTACAAAGCATAGCCTTAAGCATGCACACAGACATATAAACATACATGCATATATCACTAATATTAACAAAATATAATAATTATGTCACTTAAAGCTATGTAAATGACAATTTTCTTTTTTTCACTTACTCAAACTCTTTGTATCATCTAATTTCAAGTACTATGCCAATATTTAGAAGCTTCTTCTATAGGATTTACCATTTTAAGATTTACCTAAGCTTCATATTTGTCACGTATAATAAAACTGTTACACTTCTGACTTTTTTATTATCCTTTAATCAATGCAGGAATAACCTTTTAGATTCTAAAGCCCTTTAATATCAATACCCTATCTCATCCGGGATTAAAATTATATTTAGGTGAAGCCATTATGGAAAACAATATGGAAGTTCCTCAAAAAATTAAAAATAGGGGACGCCTGGGTGGCTCAGTGGTTGAGCGTCTGCCTTTGGCTCAGGACGTGATCCTGGAGTTCTGGGATCAAGTCCCATGTCGGGTTCCCGCATGGAGCCTGCTTCTCCTCCCTCTACCTATGTCTCTGCCTGTCTCTCATGAATAAATAAAAATTAAAAATAGAAATACCATATAATCCAGGAATTCCACTACTGGATATTTACCCAAAGAAAATGAAAATACTAAGAAAAAAAATGAAAATACTAATTCGAAAAGATACATGCATCCCTATGTTTATTATGGTATTATTTACAACAGCCAAACTATGAAAGCAATGAGGATCAATCCAAGAAGAATGGATAAGAAGATATGGTGTATATATATACAGTGGAACATTACTTGGCCATATAAAACAATGAAATTTTGCCATTTGTGAAACATGAATGCACCTCAAGGGTATTATAAGCTCAGTGAAATACATCACAGAAAGACAAATATCACATGACTTTACTTATACGTGGAATCTAAAAACCACAACAAACAGAAACAGATGCATAAATACAGAGAACTGATGGTTGCCAGAGGGGACAAGTCTGAGAGGATGGACAAAATGGGCAGAGTGGGAGGTACAGGCTTCTAGTTATGGAATGAATAAGTTCATTGAAATGAAAGGCATAGCGCAGGGAACACAGTCAATGACACTGTAACAGTTGTATGGGGACAAATGATAGCTACACTTGTGAGCACAGCATATGTGGAGCTGTTGGGTCACTGTGTTGAAACTGGCACAGCATTGTGTGTCGATTGTCAACTGTGCTTCAAGGGGAAAAAAGGAACTGGACCCGTGTTTAAAATATACATATTGGGCAGCCCGGGTGGCTCAGCGGTTTAGCGCTGCCTTCGGCCCAGGATGTGATCCTGGAGACTAGGATTGAGTCCCATGTTGGGCTCCCTGCGTGGAGCCTGCTTCTCCCTCTGCCTGTGTCTCTGCCTCTCTCTTTCTTTCTGTGCCTCTCATGAATAAATAAATAAAATATAAAAAATAATAATAAATAGCCCCCCTCCCCAAAAAACAACAAAACATACATATTTACACAGATATGCCTGGGGTGTAAAAGCAAGTTGTCTGCATCATGGAAAACACCAACAGGCCCTTGGGTTATTTCAGGGACCTATTGGTATTGAAGTCAAATTTCAGAATATCTGCTTCTTTGTCTGCAAGAGGAAATAAACAGGTAGCTAAACAATATAATGGCTATTGCCTTAAGATTTCAGTTCTTATTTCTGGGTACATGTATTTAAATAGTGGTGGTTGTCCTCATTAGTGCATCAAAATGTATTTACTAGACTTGGAAAAAAATCTAAAAGAAAGCATATGTACCTGGAGATTTCACAGATCTGTTTCTCTTGGCTTTGGATAACTTAGTCAGAGATGTGCCCATTTGGGGACTGGCAACCTTTTCCTACCAAGGACCAGTTAGTAAATATTTTAGGTTACGTAGGCCCTATGGTCTCTATCAGAACTACTCAATTCTAGTGTGGTAGCACAAAAGCAGGTAGACAATGCATACATGAATGAGCATGGCTTTGTGAAATTCGAACTTCCTATGATTTCATGTGTCATGAAATACTATTCTTTTGATACTTTTCAGCCACCTAAAACTGTAAAATGCATTCTTAGCTCAAGAGCTGTACGCAAACAGGTAGCAGGCCCGATCTGACCCAGGAGACTAGTTTGCCAACTCCCCGTATAGAGGAAAGCCCATCAGATCTCAAGATAAAAAGCTGGTTCTAGATAGAACTGAGGCTCCCACTAACTAGTCCATCTTGGCTGCTGGCTTCTTTACCCTCAGTCTCTATTTACTCCTATCTATACTGAAGGTGCTGGATGAGATTGGTTGTTTGAAGCCCCTTTTTGCTTTGAAGTTCTAGGATCAATATTAGCAGAATAATGAGGAATAAGAAGAACCACACCCAAGTCTCTCCTTGGAATTTCTGGGAAGGAGAATGGTGGCAACTCTTAGGGTGACATGTATTAGCTTCCCAAACTCAGGATGGCATGTTTCCAATTTGAGAGCAAGTTTGTTATTTCTGAGACTGAGAGCCATATCCTGACGATGAGATTGGTTTTGGTGCTGATCTCAAGCCCTATCCGGCATGAATGGACAAGGAACACCTCATCCCTGTGATTACCACTAAAGCAAGTCCTCACTGGCAAACTCCTTAGGTACATGATCTTTCAGCTCTAAAGATTAGGGACCAGAAAAGCCATTTCAAGTCTGTATCTTCACTTAATTTCACGAACTAGAATCTTGAAAAGTACACACACCTCTAGTCAACCATTAACAGATATTGAAGGAAGGCCTAAGAGTCCTGGGCCAGTGTTCCAAAACATGGTTTTATTTACCTGGAGGTGAGGAAATGCAGACAGGATATTGGGGATTTTCTCTTCTAGAGCCAAAATGGTTTGGAGTAGAATAATGTCCGCAAGGCTCAGCTGGTTACCAACGAGAAACCTTTGCCCATGATCCCTTAAAACCTACAGGATACAAATGTTTTACATTGCTTACAATACTTTACATGGAGAGACTGATGACACTGTTGAATCATGCAGTATCTGAGTATTTTATAAATAATATCAACTAAGAGGTTCCCTATATCAGAGAGAGAAAATGTACAAAGGGTATAGAAATTGAAGTACCATAAAATATGTGCTTTATATCAGAATGAAACACTCTAAAGGGGAAGAAAATATTAATTCTAAATTTAGCATCCAGTGCTTTAAAATGATATAGCCATTCCATAAATGTATCTACAGAAATGAATTAAGGGTGACAAATTCAGGAGGCTGGGGGATGTGACGTAAGAAAGCAACATGTCCCTTTAAGGAGTCTAATCCTACTCACCAGCTCTGTGCTTCTACAAACATCAGGACTTGTAGTCATTAACTAGACATGACTATTAAAGAAATAGGATTCCTGGGACAACTAGATGGTTCAGTTGGTTAAGAATCTGCCTTCGGTTCAGGTCATGGTCCCAGGGTCCTGGATTTGAGCCCCACATGAGCCCCTCTGCTCAGCAGGGAGTCTGCTTCTCCCTCCCCCTCTGCTGTTCCCCTTGCTTGTACTCTATCAAATAAAATCTTAACAAGAAAAAAAAAAGGTAGGCCTCCTTTCATATCTTCCAAGACAGAAGAAACTAAAAGCGTAAGAGCTCATTTTGACTCCCATTTTGAGAGTAACATGTAGGTTCGGAGATTCACAGGGATAGGTGATGATAGGGGAGAGGCAAGGAACAGCGGTAGAAAGGGGGTGGTTCTCCTTTGCAGCAAAGTCTTGGATGCCCACGAGTGTGAGTTTCTGTGATGTGTGAGTGTCTGGGTCTGTGTGTGTGTGTGTGTGTGTGTGTGTGATGTCTGACAGGAGCTCTTCATACAACTCCTGGAGCCAGGGTGGGAGAGCACAATGAATCCAGAATTGCAGTCAGGGGCCAGAGCTCCAATCCTGGCTCCCCTCTTTAGGCGTGTCACTCAGTCTGTCTGGGATTCCATTCCATGACGTGTAAAAAGGATAACAGTTCATGAGTTGGGAGGAGCCCTGACCTAGTCCAGGCCACAGGAACAGAGGAGCCAGCAGTGACCCTTTACTAAGGCACCTGTTCCCCCCCTCGCCACACCCACATTTCTACATTATCATATTTCACATTCACCAAGTGCCTCTGGGCAAGAGACCATGAAACCAAGCAACAGAAAAACCCAGAAAATACCTCCTTTTTTTCTTTTTCTAATACCTCTCCTTTTAAAATCTAATTCCACGAAGATGGCCAGAGGACATTTGCCAATTTCCTATTTTTACACTCTTTTTTTTTTTAATTGAAACATTTAAAACCGTTCCCCTCGGTTGAGAAAAAGAGTTTGAAGCTCAGAAGAGCAGATGCACAACAAAAAGTAGAAAACAACAAAACAGAAAATAAAAAGAGCAAAGGGAAGAGAAATAAAACGGTCTTCTATTACATCAAAACTATTCGGTAGGATGTCTGATACACAATGGCCATTCCACAAGTGTTCGTGGGAGAAAGAAGCAAGGAATTAGGTAGTTTCTGCTTTTCTGTATCTTACACAGGGCCGGATGGTGAATGTAAGGAACAATAATGCACACATATGGTGAACTCATATTTTTTTCCAGGTTTCTGAATAACATGGCCCAAGCTGCATCTGAGGGGCTTCAAGACATCCTGGCTTTGTGCTGACGGCTACCATCCCCTCTCAGGAATCCAGCACGGTTAGTTCAATGGCCCTCCACGTTACACTGTCCTGAGCAGGAAGTGGCATTAGTTGCTGCTCCCTTGTAGACTGGTTATGCTTTGCTCATGGGCTTCTCTGCCACCTACCTTTTCAAACACAGGAAAGTATCTAATTATAGCCTTCTGGGCCATGTTAACCACTTCCTTTTGTTGATCATCTGGTTTTAGAAAAGGATGCATGATAATCAGTTCCAGCAGATCTAGCGTCCCCTCCACGTACATGTCAATCCTTAAAACAAGAAAAAGTTGTCTCAGTTTCCCCTTCTATGAACACATCGGCTTCCACAGCTAAGAATTCACAGTGCTTTTCACTTAAGTACCCAGAAGCAATTATCTATACCTGTCTCCCAAGAGCAAAGATGCAAAGCCAATGCTAGTTGTAATTTAGAAAAATCTGTCACAAATCAGAAACCAGAAGAATCAAATCATGCCTTCCCCCTCTCCCGGGCCCCTAATCCTCTCCCCTCGCTCCAGCACCCACGCTCGGTGTGGGTGGAATTTCACATTCATAAAAACAGTGGGTATCATTTATGGAATGCTTGGTGTGTACCAGGCATGGTGTTAAACATCCTACACCCGTCACTTCATTGACTCTGATGATATCAAGTATGTGCTATCTGTATATTATATAGGACACTCATCGGGACTGTGGAACTCAGCACTTTACCCAGTATCATGCATCTTAGGAGGTACAAGGACCAGGCTCAGTGTTCAAAAATATAATCAAAATTATAATCAAGGCACAGTATCCCTGGCCTTGAATGGAACAGCAGCTTCCTGTTCTTCATAATTAGTGATAATACATTTGTGAGAAAGGTAAAAAGCAGTCTCAAAATATTTAAAGATGTTGAAACCTGCAACAATCATGCCCCAGATAGAGGACCCAGTATCTGAATTCAATTCTTCTCTATTGTTTTACTCAGACTTTTCTATACTGATTTTTTCAACTGGTTTTTGTTCGTTGTTTACACTAATGATACAAGGCAGGACGGAGACGGGACACAATACAGAGGCTGCTAATCAGCTAAAGTATCAGTAAGTGACACAGGAGATCACTCGGGAGGGGCCACAGTACAGGGTTCTCTCCTTGAGGTCCCTGCCAAAGAGGTGGTGTTTATCCGCTATGTAGTGGAGGATGCTTCGGGTCTGCACCAACTTCATTCCATCAATTTCAACCATGGGCACTTGTTGGAACAGCAGGTGGTTACCTGAGAATGGAAGGACCGCAGTTAGAACTGATCTCTTCCCTGTCCCCAAGAACCTCTCCAAATGCCCTATCAAATGAAAAGGGACAGTGGGGTCAGAGCCTTGGGGACAGTGTGAAGCTCCCTGATGACAGATAAACTCAACTTCACTCAGGGAAGTAGATTTAACCATCACAGGAGCTTGAAAACTAGCACTGTTCCAAACCTTCTTTTATCATTTTCACCCCACAGAAAATACCTACCCACATGACAAAGGGTGGGGGAGAGTGCAGTGAAGATAGTTCTGCAGAGCTTCATTGGCCAACATCGTAGCTAGTGAAACCTAAATTTAAATTAATCAAAGTTTTGAAAAATTTAGAATTCTATTCTTTAAGCATGCTAGACACATGGCAAGTGCTCAGGAGACACACATGGCTAGCAGCTACTACTTCAGACTGAGAACAGAGCATTTCCACCATTGTGGGATGTTCTACTGATTGCACTGCTTTAGAAAATTCATAAAAAAAAAAAGAAAAGAAAAGAAAATTCATTAAACTAAGTCACCAACAAACACTCTTGTGTACACACTGGCTCCTCCACAGCCACAGACCACGTACTACCAAGTTTGCGGCCACTGATCTAAAAAGCGACCCATTGTTTTCTTCAACAAACCTGTACTAAGGTTTGTTCTTTATACTTGCAGAGACGCAGATTGAAGATACAGCCCAGGCCTCAAGGGGCTCAAGGACTGGGGGACACGTGAGGGTCTGGGGGAGATGAGGACTCAATACTTGTCTAGGGAGGTCAAGCTGGTGTCACACATGAAGGCTGACATTGCAGCTGCTTCTGTTTAGGGAGCCTTCAACTGGGCCTAAAGACCCCGTGATGGTGGGGAGAGAGGCTACCTGCAGAGTCACGGGGTATTCCTTATGGAGCCCAGGCACGGAGAGAGTGGGGCTGACCAGGAGTTAAGGGGACACCTTTCATGGACTTCATTTGTTTGGTATTTGCCACAGAAAGGCGGCCCGGTGTACATGGGGACTTCCATCTGTACACTTCAAGCAGACACCAATGCCTCAGACAATTTGGAGGGAGTGAGGTGGGGAAGAAAAGAGGAGGGAAGGGATGAAAGAGGGGAAGGAGAGGTGAGAGGCGGGCAGGCGGAGGAGAAAGGAATGGAGAAGACTGTCCACCTGGCGGTTTACTCCCATCTACTCTCAGCGAATTCAACTAAAAGTGACTTCCTGGCTATTTCAGTTATTTCTCCCCCTTGGTTTTAGGATACTGTTCTGAAGTCAGTGTCAGTGTCTTTGCCCTTCCACATAAATATCAGTTCTTAAACAAAATCACTATTAGGGCGCCTGGGTGGCTCAGTTGGTTGAGCATCTGACTCTTGATTTTGGCTCAGGTCGTGATCTCGGGGTCATGGGGTCATGAGGTCAAGCCCTGAGGTCGAGCCCTGAGTCAGGTTCCCGGGCTCAGTGTGGAGTCTGCTTGAGGATCCTCTCTCATCCTTTCCCTTTGATCCTCCCCCAGCTCATGCTCTCTCTCTTTTTCTCTTTCTCTCTCGGTCTAAAAATAAACAAACCTGAAAGAAAAACAGTATTACCAACAGTTGTTTCATTTCTATACTCACCATCCTGCAACTTCTGCAACTGTTCTTTAGTTTCTAAGAATTCTTCATCAAACTAAATTAAAAAAAAAAAAAAAAAGATACCCCCCCCCCAAAGGCATATGTCATTACAGGATCAGAACTGAAAATATCAAGTTAAACTGTCTCAGAAACAGAGAGAAAGAGCACACTTAGCACCCACATCTCAGTTTCCCAGTATCACTGCCTACTAAAAGAAACTAGGGCTCCTGGGAGAAAAGGTTGGTGCTGGTATGCTGGTATATTAGAAAGCAAAGAACAGCTCAAAGACCAATGCGATATGGCAAAGGCAAAGGCAGGCAGGACCCCATTTGAGGGGGAGTCCCTAGCCAAATCTGGGACAATTCAAGCATTAGAAGAGTAATGTCACAAAGGCATCATCACACACACCAATAAAAAAGCCCCTGTCCTTAAGCGATGATACTCAAAAAGGCAGAAGGAAAAGCTCTTTTATTATTAAAGAGTTAATGATAACATTAGAACGTTGCCAATTTGTAATCTACAACTGATTCTGATAAGGATCAAAACGGATGCTGAAATCACGGAGTTGTAGGGCGCAGAAGAGTCAAAACAACCTCAAAGTATCAGCCCACAAGTTAATTATGACAAAGGTAACACGTATCTTGGTGGTGGAAAGATCCGGAGATTGCGCCATCTATCTAAGTGATTGAACTTAGCACCCCATTGGGAGACACTGAGACTTCATGTGCTTCCCGCTGTGACACAATGAGATGGGCCCAGTAGCACTGTAAAAATACTGCCAAAGACATTAACCCAGGGCTAACTGCAAGGTGAAAATTAGGCATATCCAGGATGCGGGGCACCCTGCAACAAAAATGGCTGGGACTGTCTCAAATCTACGGAAAAACTTGTTTTGTTTTGTGTTTAAGCTTCTTCTGCGGGACGCCTGGGTGGCTCAGTGGTTGAGCGTCTGCTTTCGGTTCAGGTTGTGATCCTGGTATCTGGGATGAGTCCCGCATCGGGCTCCCTGCAGGGAGCCTGCTTCTCCCTCTGCCTGTCTCTGCCCCTCTCTGTGTCTCTCACGAATAAATCAATGGAATATTAAAAAAAATAATAAAATGAAATAAAAAAATAAAAGAGATTTGATTCTATTAGCCAAGTAGACCTCCTCTGATAATTCTTCTTCTTCTTTTTTTTTTTTTTAAAGATTTTATTTACTTATTCATGAAAGAGAAGAAAAAGGCAGAGACACAGGCAGAGGGAGAAGCAGGCTCCATGCAGGGAGTCCGACATGGGACTTGATCCCAGGTCTCCAGGATCAGGCCCTGGGCTGAAGGCGGCGCTCAACAGCTGAGCCACCAGGGCTGCCCCTGATGATTCTTCTTTATGGAATTTGATTTCCAAGTTCATGCAAGAGTCAGTTTCTCCTTTACATTTTTCTTTTTAGTTAAGTCAAGGGTATGGAAGGAAAGAAAATGCAGACACTACTATAGATGAAAGCAGACTAAAGAGATAAAATAACCAAACACCTGAATCCTGTTAGATTCTGGATGCTGGAAGCAGGGGAGTGGGGAGTGGTACTGCTAAATAGATAATAAGTATATAGACATTTGGGGATCATACGGAACTTTTGAATATGAATCATATATTGATATTGCAATATTAGTATTAATTTTATTAGTTGTGACAGTGATACTGTGGTTGTTAGAACAACTACTTTTTCTTTCTTAGGAGGAAAGTATGGGTTGTCTGCAACTTACTTGTATGTGGTTGACCAAAAAAAATAAGGCAGAGAGAGGAGAGAAGGAAATATAGCAAAATGTTAACAATTAGTGAATTTAGTTGAAAGGTGTCCATAATCCTTTTATACTTTTTCTGTAGGCTTAGAAGTTTTCAAATTAAACGTGGCAGGGGGGAAGAAATAGTGGAAGCATGTTCCTCTTCTCGTGACATTAAAAAAAATGTGTTTGAATGCACTAATGTGCTTCATCTCAAGAAGGGAAGACCTCTGGGATCCCTGGGTGGTGCAGCGGTTTGGCGCCTGCCTTTGGCCCAGGGAGCGATCCTGGAGACCCAGGATCGAATCCCACATCGGGCTCCCGGTGCATGGAGCCTGCTTCTCCTCTGCTTCTCCTCTGCCTATGTCTCTGCTTCTCTCTCTCTCTCTCTATCATATATAAATAAAAATCAAAAAAAAAAAAAAAAGAAGGGAAGACCTCCTCTTACCAAGTCCCCAGATGACTCCCCACCCATGTCTGTCCCCGGGCTGCTCCCCCAAATCATCCCAGGGAGGGGCAGAGCTGACGAGCACAGAATCAGCAATCCTCCTCTCTTCTGGCTCAACTACCCGACTTGGGGTTGAATCAAGATAACTACTTGCTGGGATCTTCATGGTGTGAGACAGTTCTGGCAGGAACTCCATCTAGTGCCTACAGAGCAGCAGCTCAGGGTAAGAACTTTAGAGCATTTGTCCAAATACCCACATGTAGTGCAGGTGGCACTTCTTCTATATTATGGCTCTCAACCTTTTATAACCATGATCATTTAAAGCAGGAAATAAATAGGAAAGTAGTGTGTGTGTGTGTGTGTGTGTGTATGAGAGAGAACTGCTAGGCCCACCGTTCACAGATTCACATTCAGTAGTTGAGAGAGACTAGAAATGTACATTTTTTTAAAGCAAATCTTTCTAAATGGTTCTGATTCTGGCTTTTGACTTCTCAGGAACATTATGCAAAATGTAGGTGATCTCTCAGCAGAGAAACTCTTGAGCTTTACAAAACTTGATCAGTAAGAAGAAACTGGCAAAGGATATACAGATGAGAGGGTCAGAGAGGGAGGGCAAAAAAATCACAAGGCAGAGCCTGAAGGGAGCTTAGTGACTGACTGTATTGTGCAAGGCTGCAAGTACATCTTGGGTTCTATCTACGTCCCAGGTTCTATCTACGCAGTTACCTTTGCTACCTAACCAGGGTACTGTTCCCAGTGAGATTCTTTGGAGAACTGCCCTCTTACCACACCATGCTCTTTCCCAACACTCTCAGTTTTAGGGGAATTGCCCAGAAAACCTAAAACAGGAGTTTGGGGTACTTGAGTCTTTTACATGTGTTACTCTCCCTCTTAACAAAGGGGATTGGACTGGGTTTCAGGGAAGATTTTCAGGCAAATAAAGCCCCAAGCAGCAAAGCAGCAACATTCAGCCAGGAAGCAATAGCGATGTCTAAGGACCCAAACCAAATGACTGAGTCTGAGGATGCCGACTCTCCGAATCAGGCAGGCTGCCTTCCAGCAAGTTTTAGTTACTGAGGGACTCAGATGTGCATGCTTTACATGTCAGGCTCAACCTAGCACTGTGATATTGGGCATCATGAACTTTTCCAGTGGGCTGCCAGCCTGTCAACCACAACTGTTTCAGATCTATATGAGCACAAACCTAACTAAAAGTGTGCTTTGGAAAAGAAATGTGGAGGCCCCCTCACCAATGCTACCTTTGGGGGATGGCTCCTGTAAACCATGTGGCCAATCTCTAGTTAAGGAGGCCAATCCAGCTCCCTCCACATAGGTTGGAAGGGTGGGCTGGGGACCTGCTGGACCAATTACTCTACCTCCCCTGCCTGCCTTCTGTGACTGGTCTAGGGGAGGTGGGTCATATGATCCATGTTCTTTTTTGTTGAACTTACCTAGGGTTAGTTTCTCTACTGTTGTCACCAAGAATCTTGATTCTTACATAGGGAAGTAGGAGGAATAGGGGAGAATGAAGATTGGAAAGAGAGGATTTGACAAAGGATTATATTAAATGTATAAGTAAGACATCCATTGCAAACCCATTAAATAAGCCAGAACTGCAAACTCAGAAGCACGCAGGGAAAAAACAGGTGACATCAATATGCCAACCAGGTTCAGGTCAGGGGACCAAGAATTTTTTCACACTCTTCTTAACACAATTAGAAAATCAATCCTGAGACAACAGGGAATGATGAGGAGTGTAATGAACTGTAAAAGTTCATATATGGTGGTAGCCCTTCCTTGATTTAGCAATTACTGCCCTCTGAAAATGAAGGCCTAGTATTATCAAATCTTCAAATATATCAAAAGAAGTCAGAAATCAGAATTTGTATATAAAAATGACATCAACTGATTTAGAAAATTTTAGAACACTGTACAGTGAGTTATAATGATATGCAAAGAAACCAAAACCAAAACCAACCAAGCAAAACACAAAGCCTCAAATCCAACAACTCTCATTTGCCATCTTTGGAGGTTGCTAAGGTAACAAATGAGTATTCTGAAAATTCATAAAGAGACTCTATCAAGCATATACCTAACCTTTCCCATATGAACTATACTTCAAGGTAACTAAATAGTTAAGTTAAATTTACTCTTTGTAAGAGAAATACAGTTCACAAATTTCAGATACAATGATAGAAAGAAAACAGAAAAATCACCATTTTATAATCCCTAACAATGGTGATGGTAAGTAGCTGCTAAAACCAGTGGTTGAGAAGGTAATGGAGGAAACTTTATAGCGCGTGGGTCAGGCTGATGTCAGGCTGATGTCACCGGAACACCCCGATCAAGCCCAGCATTGCTGAAAAGGAGACACTCAGACATCACGCATCCCTTGATGTCGTATAATAAAAACATATTCAGGACAGAGTCTGACAGGCAAAAAAAAAAAAAAAAAAAAAGTTTAGAGATAGAAAAGAGCCTGGATTTGATCACATCTCTGAGTCCAACTAGTAGCTTACAGGAGATACAGGAATAGAAGAATATGTTAAAATGAGGGTAGATCAACCAAATCCAGAATGAAGGAAATTCTACAGGGCAGTTTCTTCCACAAATAAATGCCACTAAAAACAATACAGACGCTTGGTATTCAGCTCTTAGCTGCTAAAACTACTTGCTCATAAAAGACACCTGAGCTCCTTGGAGAAATACCAGAATCTAGGGCCAAGACAAGGAAAATACAAGATGAGCCTGGAGCATCTTTAAGAGTCAAAAGAAAGAGAGAGCTGAAGGTG